GTTGGTAGCTCATCCTGGCAGAGACAGAGCTGTGAGCCCTGCGCAGACTTAGCCGGCAAGAATTGGGTGTTGGCAGGGGTGGGGGGCTGCGGGCTGCGGGGTAAACAACTGACCCTTCTCTGAATTTCCAAACGTTCGTTCGGAAAGGGTTGCAGGGACTTTTTCTCTGAGGCCCTTAATGGGAGTGAACGTGACATTGGGAGACCGATGCCGGCTGGGTCTCCTGAGGCTGGAGGGGGGGCAAAGGGGAGGGGGGCAGGCGGGCTAGGGGAAGCGTGGGCTGGGGGTGGCGGGGATGAGACCAAGGTCGGGCTCCTAAATTCTGGGAAACACTGGGGGTGCCGAAGGAGCGGTGGCGGCTGGGCGCATTCGCGGGCCAGACAGATAGGTGGCACTCGAAGCCCGGAAGAAGGAAAAGGGGAAGAAAAAAAAAAACCCAAAGGCGCCAGCCCCGAGTGGCCTCCGCGGCGTCCGCCGCCACCATAAAGCCCGCAGCGAGATTGCGACCGGCGCCAGGTGAGTAATAGACAACGAAATCCCGAGAGATTGCGAGCGGTTCAGCCCCGTCCATCAGCGCGGCGAGTTACTCATTAACATCACTATATACAAATAAGATACACAGGAGATTAAATAAAAAAGGGCCGACTCAGCGGAGGCCGGACGCACGGTCCCCGAACTGGAGGGTGGGGAGGGAGAGGGGGGAGCGACCTGGATGGAGAGCACCGAGCCAACGTTTCTGCCTGCTGCCGGGCCGAATTCTTGGCTTCCCAACCCGCGGCTGCACCTTGTCTAGGGTGCGGGCACCCAGCGCTGCCCCGAGGCCAAGTAGAAACCCCGGTTCTACGGCGCCTCTGCGCCTACGGCTCTCGCCTTGGGGACCTCCGGACCTTCCCGGGGGCTTCCTTCCTACAGAGCCCCGCATTCTCGGCTCCGGCCCTCCGAGGCCCTTGCCTCCCACCTTCGTTGCCTGCTCTCCCACCCCCGGAGAGGCTGCGGGGGGTCTCCACCCGCTTGGTTGAAAACAGAAAAACAGAAGGGGCTTTGCCTCCAGTCTCCAAAGAGTTCCCTTAGGGTCCTCTTTCACGTGCAGGACGGGACAGCGGGGAGAGGGGAGGGCTCTCCAACAACCACTTGGGGGGCTGGTAATTGACCGAGAGGGCGGGGTTGGGGGGGACAGGCTGGTGGCTGTTTGGATGGGCAGGGGGGAAGACTATCGCCAGCCAGGCACCGCCTGGATCCCCCGAGCAAGAAAAGGCCCAAGAGCTAACCCTCCAGAACCTTATTTCCTCCCCTATCCGGTTCTCCCCCCTGGAGTCCCACACACTCCTGAGAGCAGTGAGGCTGGAGGTGGTGGTAGGGAGCCTCAAGACCAAACCTCTGGCTTCACCGCTTTTATTGAATGTTTTCTAAGATAAATTGAACTTCAAAAGGCAACTCCCTAAACGGCCTGGTTGGAAGGGAGAAGTGAGTGGGGTGTTGGCCTCGGGGTGACTTTTTCCCCTGGAGGGGGTCAATTAGGCGACCTGGAATCACCTTTCTCTTGCAAGGAAGCATCCCTTGCTCCCTGGAGTAGCCCGGGTCAGGGTGCGACCAAGACGCCGCACTGCGTCCCGCCAGCGCCCGAGGAGTTAAGGATGGAGCCCGGTGGGGGCGCCTTGGGTCAGCGGACTCTCCCTGGGGCGCCGAGGCTTCGGGAGGACCAGGGTCTCGCCCACTTGTCCGGCAGCCGGGTCGGGCCATTCGGCTAGCCCGCCTTCCCCCCCGCGCCAAACCCAGGGCCGGGAGAAGCGGCGGCCTCGCATTCCTCCCGGTCCACGTGGGGAGGAAGCTCAAAACGAAAACGGGGGCAGTCCTGGAACTGATTTTTGACCGGCCGCGGGTGGGGAAAAGCGGAGTTGGCCAGTAGCCGCACAGTCTTCTCCCATCGAAACGGCCGTATCTGAAAAGGCTAGTCCCTCCGAATTTGAGGCGGGCCCTCCCCTGCGCTGTCTTCCTTTTGACTGCCTAATTTAAAGGAAAACTCATCTCTCCTGGAAGCGGCTCCCTTCCCCCGCAGTAAAAAACTCTTGTTTTTAGCTTTAGACCTGGAGTGAGAGGTCCTTTGTTGACTGGGGTGGGGTGAGCGCCGGGAACGGGGACCGTATTTATTTACAGTCCAAGGAAAGGAGGAGGGGGGAATGGTGGGCCAACAGAAGAGGGGTAAACCTTCATTTCTCTTCACCTTCCGGAAGGGAACCTAAAAAAAAAGCAATGAATAGGAGGCCAGTGGCATTTCAATAAAAATTTATTGAAATTTCAGTGATTTTTTTAAAGGGGGGGGTACAGAAAACCAAAGAACTCATCAACAATTATAACACAAAATATACCTTCATAATTTTTTTTCCTTTTTCAACCATCTTTCAGCACCTGACTTTTGAACCGTGAATCTCTCTGGAGGTCACGATTCGAAACACTATCAAGATCGACCGCAACAGTAAATTCCACTTGGCTTTGAGAAACTTGGAGACTAGCAAACACAAATAAGAAAGAAAAAAAGAAACATAAAGGATCAAACCACAACTGCCCTCTCTCCCCTCTGACCACCCTTCTTCTCTCCCCCCCCACTCTGCCCCCTCCCCCAGAAATCTTGGCATCCCAGGGAGGCAGGGGGGGGCGGAGTAAGACTTGAAGGAGTTGAAAGTTTGTCCCTGGGAAGTGGCACCCCGCCCCAATTTTGCCTACAAGCAAGCAGCGGCACACTCCCCCACTCTTTAGGATATTAGGGGAAAAAAAAATCACTTTTTTTTTTGCAGGCAACTCTTTTGAAACAGTGTTGGTGCAAAACGTGTTTCCTAGTTTTCAAAGCGATCCTGTGACCTTGAAATCAGACCCTCTACAGGGAGACAAGTACACAGGGGTGGGGGGGGGCAGACAGTGGCAAGGTCCTATTTACACAGAGCTATGTACAATGTCAATAAATTAACATTTCATTTCCAGGCATTCATATTCTACCTATTTACAAGAGTTATCAAATAATTACATAAATACTTTTTGTCTAATAGTCTCACTTCTTCTTTATTATTTTTAAAACCTTGTTATTGCATATACAGGAGAGAGGGACAAGAGACCAGCTACAGAGCTTTGATAAAATAAATTCATTGGTTGAATTTCCCCCATTCCTGCCCTTGTAAATATGCCCCCCCCCCTCCACTCACACACACACCTTAAGGTCACCAATTAGAGGGCTCAAGATTGGGGAGAGGGGTCATGTGTTTGCTCTAAAAGCAAGCGTTCAAAATAAAAACCACAAAGTATATGATGGTGGAACATGCAAGAGACCCTATGGTGGCTCTGAAGGCATCACACAAATATTAAAAAGAAGACACAGATTTCCTTAATGCAGACTAAACTAGAAGAGGGGGGGGGGCGGAGGGGACCACCCTCCCCAAAGAAGTCAGTTCAGTCACTTCTTTCCCATGGATAGACAAATCACTAGAAACTTCCTAATCGCCACAAACAGCATCACATTCATTTGTCCCCATTTTTTTTTTTAGTTTTATGTGTTTTTGTTTCCACTTAACACAGCGTAGGGGGGGAAAAAAAGAAAGAAATCCCAGCCGGAGGAGGAGGGGTCCACTTTCAACCTCCTCCATCCCCTCCCCAATAGGCTTGGCTACCGGTTGCCTTGGGGTGTATTTCTTGGGCCCCAACTCCCAGGCCTGCTTCGCTGGTAGATGGCCCCAACAAAAATGCTCTAACTCTCACCCCAGCCCCCGACAGCTCATGGGCAAGGGATGCCTGCGGGGCCCCCAAGTCTGGGCCAGATCGCACATGTATATTGGGCTTACAGACCACACCAAGAGGGCCAGGGCTGTCTCTAGCACGTTCTCTTCAGGGGGTCGGTCCACCACCAGCCAAAAAGAAAGGGCTGCACTCCAGGCCTGCCCCAGCCCCTTCCTCCGGGGTTTCTCTTTACATCCGACAAAGTGCACTGCAGACTGGGGCCGGGCTGGAATGAAGAGACGTTTCTGGGGAGGGGCTTAAGGGGACGCGCTGCGGGACCTGTCCGGCTTGGCCTCCAAGCCGCTGACCAATCGTTGGATGCTCTGCAGCTCGCTGGTGGCCACCTCCTTCTCCCCGCAGAGCTTTGGCGACAAGGACACGGAGCTGGACGAGAGCGTGGAGGAGCGGCTGTTGAGTTCTGAGCCTGAATCCACCGCCACCGAAGCGGGGCTGGCGGCCAGGGTGGCGGCTTTGCCATCTAGGGGCCCTGGGGGTGCGGCCATGGCCGGCAGGGCGGTGGTGAGCAGGCTGCTGCTGTCCGGCACGGGCATGGGGATGGAGTAGGGGCTGTAGCGCAGGCGAGGACGAATGGTGTGGAGGTTGAGGAAGGGGTGGCGGTGCACGGAGCTGGAAGCCGCGGCGGAAGAGGCCGCGGCGGCCGCGGCCATGTAGGTGTAGGGGTAGGGGAACAGGCTTCCGAAGGGTGCCATGGCCAGGCCCTGGGGGAAGAGAAAGCAGGCGGAGTCACCCGACAGCACTCAGAGGGAGCCGAGCAGGAGGGGCCCAGTGTGCCCTGCTCTGCTCATCCCTGAAAACTCAACAAAAACTGCCTGCCACAGACCCAACTCCAGCTTGCAGGGACCCCTTGGGGCAGGGGACAAATGCCCTGTGGGTTTCCCAAACTGTAACTCTTCAGGGGGTTGAAGAAAGCCCTGTCTTTCTCCTCCTGCACACCCCTAAGGCCAGTATGCACCCCTTGCCCTGGATGGGGACGGTCCCAGACTTCTTCAGGCCCAAATAGTAGCTCTGTCACCGGAGGCCAGAAAGCTTCTCTCCTCCCCTGGTTCCCCACAAAACAACCCAACAACCCCAAAACTCACCCACAAGGAAAACTGAGTCATTCATACACTTATTCAGGACTTGGGGGATTCACTTTTTGTTACATCACATGCCCTCCCCACCCCACCCCCAAGGCAATTTGGACTCAGAGAGAGACCCCCAAATGACTGTAGAACTACCCCAGAGTGTCCCTCCCTCGAGAACCACTAGGTAGATCACTGGAGAACCACTAAAGTTTCCCACAGCAGCCTCGGGCTTCCATGCTCCCTGCTGCCGCCATTCCTGGCCTGTTAAAAATCCTCACAAAAAAGGTCACTTGCTGCACCTGTTCAACAAACCTCCTGAGTCCGTTTGTCCCACAAAGGTGGCTCAGTGGGTGCCAGAGGGGAAATGGTATTTGTTCATAAATCTTGGTTGTTTTTCTTTTTTTTTTTATTCTTGTCTTCCACCCCCACCCCAAATCCTGTTACCTTTCCCAAATGAAGATAACCCCCCAGAGGGAAGGCATTAAGCACAAAGAAAGATAGGGTGGGGGGAGAGAATGGGTTGCTACCAACAGAAAACAAGAGATCTGTTTGATCTCTGATCAAACCAATCTGATCCACTGGTGTCACAGATGAAGAAACTGAGGCAGGCCCCACGCTGAGAGGGGGCTAAACCTCACCTTAGCACCCAGCTCCCAAAGGAGGAGGCGGGTCTTGCCTCTAGGCTCAGAGAAGGGAGAGCCCTTGGGATGACACAAAACAAAAGGCAAGAGCCTGAAGCAGGCCCAGAGAGGCTTCTTCCAGGGTTGGCTTTGTCAGCTGCCTTCTCCAGGCCCCAACCTCTGCTCCAAGCAAGCCCGTTGCAGCTGTCTGAGCCCTGCCCTGCCTGCAGGCCTACCCCAGCCCCTGCCCCCACCTGGCAGAGACCCTCAATGCCCTCCCCAGACCGGAGGAGACAGAGAAGAGAGCTTTCGGCTGCTGTGATTAGACTTCAGTGTCAAGACAGCCCTATCACCCAGCTGAGTGACCCAGGGCAACTCCCCCACCGTCTCTGGGCCTCTAGACCTTCTGGAGAGAGCAGACTGGGCCAGGGCTGGCTTAAAGCTGTCAGGTTAGAGCCAGGATTTCTAAGTGTAGCACTGCGAGGTGCTGAGCATTTGTCAACATTAGTACTTATAACTACCCATGCTGCTGGAAACTGCCTCAACTTAGAAAAACATTTCTATAAAGTGTTCCCTTTGGGGGTGGGGATAGGGGTAAGGCAGGGGGAAGTTATGATGAATCGGGGAGATAAACTTTGCACCTGGCAGTGGCTCAGTTAAAAATGATGATTGAATGCTCTACCTGGTAAAGGGTGCTACCAGAGGGGTGGGGGGCGGGCGCGGAGAATGGGAGGCAGGGGCGGGATCTGGAAATACCTGCGATGCCAGGACGTGCTGCTGGAGGTGGAAAGGCAGGGTAGCCGCCGACGCCCCCGACAGCCCCTGCGCCGCCGCCGCGGCGGAAGCCATGGCCGTGGAATCCAGGCCGGAGACGCCGGTGGAGGCCCCGGACACGGTGGCCAGCAGGGGCCCCATGCCCGCGGCGGCCATGCTGGAGAAGGCCCCGCCCATGGTGAACTGGCTGGGGTGCAGGAAGAGGGGGTGCCCGTTGAAGAACTGCTGGCCGGCCAGGCTGGGGGCGAAGCCGAGCCCCGGCAGGGGGCCCTGGCCTAGGTGCGCGGCCACGTCCGTCTGCACCGTCAGCGGCGCGAAGGCCTCCTTGCCCGGCAGCGCTCGCGGCTCCTCGGCCTTGGCCGGCCCCACGCCCTCCCGGGCGGGGCTCCGGCGCTCCTCGGCGCCCAGGCCCCGGGTGCTGGACGAGATGGTGGCTGGGCTGTGGCGAGAGTCGGGCGACGCCTTGTCCAGCCGGCCGCTGTCCCGGGGCCGGCCGCAGGGCTCCACCGCGAAGCGCTGCGCGTGGGCCACGGGGCTGCCCTTGTCGCGGCAGGGCTCCTCCGACGTGGTGGTGGAAATCTTGGCCGCATCGCACGCCTCCCGCCCCGGCTCCTCTTTGCTCTCCGCCTCGGCGTCGCTCTCACCCTCGCTGGGACACAGATCTACCGTGGGATGGGGAGAAAGCCGGGCCGGCTGCTGAGTGTGGGAAGATTGCCTTCCCTTCTAAGCCTGGCGAAAGCAACTCGGGTTCCCGGGATCCAATCCCAGCCTGGCCACTTACTAGCCATGTAACTCCCAACTCGCCTGTTCCCTCAGTTTTCTAGTCTGCAAAATGGGGGTGATGGGCTCTTGACAGCCTGACTTGGGAAGTCAACAATCAACTACTACAAGGGGTGGTGCTCCGAGGGTGCTAACACCCCACCCTACCAGCAGTTCTTTTATTATCTCAGATTTTATTCTAAACAAACATCCATTGAGCTGCCACTGTACTGGGCACTGCCTATACATGCATTTTCTCATTTGATTGAAAATTCTTTTTCTCTCTGTTTTACTTTAACTTCAGTGCACACGTCCATGCCATTGTCTCTGGGGTCTTTGTTGGGTGGATGACTGACTGGGGGGGGGGGGAGATGGGCGGCACGGCGCCTTTACCTTCCACATATTTGTGCGTTATTGTGGAAGGATTTGCTTGGCCAGAACCCTGACATCTGAACTGGGGCCTGCAGAAAAGGGTAGCCCTCCCCTCAGGGCATACACTCACAGGGATGGTGGGGTGTTTGCCTCTGTCACCGGAGACAGGGAGTTGGGGGTGGCTGATGAGCCCGCTTTTCCAGCCAGGAGACAGGGACAAGCTTTTACCTTTCACCACCCCCTCTGTGGGTGTCCTGCCCACGAGAAGAGAACGGGGGATCCTATTTGATGTTCAAAGCTTAAATGGATTGAAGCCATAAAGGGCTTTCATTTTATTTCACTTAAAAACAGGTTTCTTCTATTGAGAGTGTCTTTCCAAATAAATAGTGCTCACTCTTCAAACACAGGAAACCGGCTGGGACGGTGAACCATCCTACCATATTCTCTCGCTTGTCCGCCCACTCCCCTTCCTCCCAGCAGGTCCACTGTACGTCCCAGCCTGTCTCTACATACAGCTAGATCTTTTCTTGGCCACTTTCCTTGTTCCAAATGGCAGAGAGCTACCTCATCACCCTGTCCCCCCTCAGCCCAACACACTTTAGCTTAGAGTTCAAAGATGCTCAAAAAGTCAGTTGCTCCATTGATGAGGCTTCCAGAAAGGGAGACCTTAAAAACTGGCCCCCCACACAGGCCTTAGCTGGGTTTCAGGAGTGGGTAGTTCAGAACTCGCCTGGGATTAGCTTAGGGAGGTGACACTGGACACTAATTGATGTGGCTCATGTTTATGGGTCTTTAGCATTTGAAGGGCAAGTCCCTTGGCTGTGTGGGGGTGGGTGGGTGGGAGGGGGGTACCCACCACTCTTTCAACTTCTCCCAGGTTGTGGGGCCTGCAGGGGAGCCAGCTGGGAGGGGGCCAGGCTCACCTTTTAGATTGGACGTCCCCACGGTGGAGACAGCGGGGGACGAGGACTGGGCGAAGCAGTTGAAGGCCGCCTGCTCGCTGGAGGACTCGTCCGAGGTGGTGTTGTCCTTCTTGTGTCTGTCCTCGAACAGCCTCATGGACTGAAGGGTCAGCTGCTTTCTGCGACAGAAGCCCACCCACGCTCCATGTCACCCCACAGAAGCCATCCACCCTCTGTTTCCCTCCCCGTCTCCCAATGGGGTGTGTGCACCCCCAACCGGCCCGCCGCCACCCAACGCCACCACGGATACTCAGAAATCAGCGTGACCCAGGCCAGCCAAGCAGAACGGGGCAGGCGAGGGTGGCAATGGCCAGGGAGAGAAAGAGGCTGGGTCCCCCAGTCGGCGGGGGTCCAAAAGCCGGGTTGCTTTGGAGAAGGGACTTTTGTTTACACTGGGAAATCTTTCCAAGAGAGGACATGGGAGTGACAAAGGACAGCTGAACTGGCGGCCTGGGGTGGGGAGTGTGGGGTGGGGAGGATGCCAGGCTCCCCAACTCCTGAATGGCTGCAAAGATTGTGAGGAAGCCGGTAATTTCACGGTGCCTGCCCTTCACCTGAAATCGCTCCGCCAACACATTAATCGGAGTAAAAAATCTAGTTAGACTTTAGACAGAACTTCAGTGGGCACCCCCCAACGGGGATAAGGTTGAAAACTGGGGCTTTTTTTTTTTTAAAGAAACCTTGGGCAAGGGGTTGGGGGGGGGGGGGGGACAAGCTGCTGTGGCATGTGCTCCAGCTGTCTAGTTCATGCAGGGTGACCCTGCACACAGGAAGCAGGGAATTGTAGATTTCTCGGGGGCAGGGGGGGGGGAGCGTATCTCTGTTGGGTCTGGTGGTCTCTGGAAGCCAAGCTCTTGGCCAGCATTCCTGGGCATTTTATGAATGGTCTTTTGCTGGGTGGGTGCGAATTCCTCAGGAATTCATAAGCGTTCTTCTACAGAGGATCATCTTTTATCCCTGCGTCCTTCCAGAAGCAACTATGGTGGGGCCCACTTCCCTTTCTTCTAGGTAACAAGTAGGAGGTGGGGCTGTGAGTTGTGGCAGAGGGAAGTCCATGATGTCGCCCCCCCCTCACCCCACTTCCAGCACTGGCGACTAGGGGGCCTATAAAAAGGCTTCCCGCCCCAAGTGATTTGGCAGGTAGATTATTGCCTCCACTCACCTTTTTTCTCTCCTGCCATTTCCAGTGTCCCGGAAACCTTTGGCGAAAGGGTTGTTGTCTATTTTTAACTGAGTTATCTAGAAGAGGAAAAGATGCAGGGAGAAAGAGCTGTTAGCCTCATCTTCTAGAATGTTCTGGGCGGTGTTTCCGGGAGCCCGATGGGGCCAACAGGTGAAGCCATATGCTTAGGGCAGGTCAAAAGAGAAAGCAAGAGGCGGTGGAGGCACCTTTCCAGGAGGTGGAGAGAAAAATCAAAGAGAATTCTAGAATGGCTTGCTGATGTCACCCAAAGAAGGCCAAACTTGGGATGGGAGGATGAAATTCCCCAGCAAGGAAATGGTCCATTCCTTCCTTTGGGCAAGCAACAGCTAGACTTTAGATGTTGAACGTTGCCAAAAGGAACAACCTGCAGATTTTAAATTTATATGTTTACACTGTGACTTTTAAAAAAATCTGGGGTCATTAATCATAAAATACATTATGGCATGCTCCCTACCTTCACACACACACACACACACACACACACACACACACACACACACTTGTTCATATACTTGGCCACTGCCTTAGAGCGGAGGGGGCCAATGGCCTCTGCTGTGATCAGGAGTGGTTTCATTTCATGATTATACACTGACAACTGGGTTCCACAGGATTCAGGATCTGGGGGAGCTGGTATTTCTCGTGCTGTGGGAGGAGGGGGCGCCATATATAATCATTGTACAGAATCTTTCGAAGCCCTTCCCTTTGGGATTTTGGGGGGCGGGTGGGCTTATAGACACAGAAGTTTCCAGAGAAAGGGCCCCTGGTTCGATTCTCGTCCTGATATTCTTGCTGTGTGCAAACACTGCAGTTTTCCTCTGGTCGGAAAAGGGGCCCCTGTTGTCTTAAGCACTAGATGCAGGAGACATAGTTGACCCACTCCCATCAGTCCTCTGTACAGGACCCAGCACTGGTGCCAGCAAGCAAAATATGCAGGGTGTCCCACTGTGTGCTGGGCTCTCCCTGGTCCCCAGCACTCAAGAGGTTGAAG